ATGAAGTTGAGATAGTACACAGGCAGCCCATTACCTAGCATACTTGGTGCGCCCCGCCTTTTCATCCTCCTCTCCACTCCCAAAACGTTTTTCTCTCTGCTTGCAGCAACAATCAAAACAGAAGAGCCAGAAATTGATGGCTACGCACATCTGCGTCATAACAGAAGCGGGACGTAAATTAAGAGATACGAATTCGAAGTCATCAATACGTCATTCGTTATCATGCCATGGTTTTAACACTTAAAAAACGTGTTGCCACGCCCATCTGAAGAGCACGCAATAAGGATTCTCTCCATCTCGGGGAAGTGATTTTCACGCTTTGGACTAAGATACTTGAAAGAAGGTGTTTTTTGTTGATATTTTTGTTGTTGTAATCTAACACACTGGATGCCAATATCCAGTGAAAATAAAAAACTGAAATATGACAGCCGTCTACCTAGTATAATGTACCGTACAACTGGACTTGATTCGAAACCGCAGTTTGATGGTCAAAAAAGGATATCAAAATTACTGCGTTATTGTTGGTGCGAACTGGTCAGCTCCAATCTAAACATGCTAAATACCGGACGGCAAACAAAATCTAGCCCTAATGCTGCGCATGCTCAACCAGACCACGTAAAAAAGTGACCGAAATCTGGATCTAAGGACGCAGAGATCGGACAACAAAGTTTAAGTTGAACAATTGTAGTTTTGTTCGAGAATCCATAATGCAAAATTCCATTCCATCTTGTTCCTTCGCTCTCAAACTCTTCAAGTAGTCCCGAAAATAACCATGGTCTCCGAAAGTGACCACATCCTAGATTATTCATAGTGGTAGCTTGCCTAAAAATAAACATCCCTAGACCCGTGCTTAAAATCACGGAGACGGCCTCCTACCCTAACCTATGTATTTGGATAATGAATTGAAGGCGTCTTTTTACTTGTGACTACAAAGACGCGCGCGAAATGTCCGAAATGGAARCATAAACAACAATAATAAGTAGAATTCGCTTCATCACAAGCAAAAAGAGTTCACTGTTTCCATTCTAAGGCGGGATATGCTCCTATTTGAATAAAGAGCTGAATATATAGCATCCGATATAGCAGCACAGACAACAAGCACCTTGAAGAAGTTGGCGCAGAGCGAACAAGAATAAAGTATTATCTGATTTCCTCGAGGTGTGTTGCACTACATACTAGTAAACTAAGCCTTTCTTTCGACGTCTTCATCTGTTTTCTATGAAAAAAATACATACATCGATATCAAGCATTTTATGGATTAATAAAAAATGGTTTAATAAAAAACTTTTTCGAGGCTTTCGGTACACTTGTAAATTTGGCGCGCAACAACTTCTTATGGAAAAAGACATTGAGTTGTAGAAAGACCACTTCAAATACATGAAATATTTTTTTAGGTTAATCAAGGTTTTGCGATAAGTGTTTGAAGAACATGCACAAAAAAGTTTGACTGGCATCGTTTCACCGAGAGTTCTATCAAAATATAAAATTGGAAATTATTGAAAAAAATAATAATAATAGCTCTAAAAAAGGAATTTTTCACTACGTTTTTTGAAAGGGAAGTTCCAATTTTGAAGGAATTATTCTATGATATGACACAATACACGCGAAGCTTCTGCGTTTGAAATCGCGTCAGGCGTGAACGCGGTATCTTCGGCGTCGAATTTGATAAGAAAATATGCTTTTTAAATA